GAGAGAGAGAGATCACGCATCTTTAACCACCCGCGCAGCCACGATTTCACATCTCATGTAGAGAGTTTTTAAGCGGTCATTGATGTGAAGTCTTTTCCTGCAATGCTCACATTCGTTATTCCCTCCATGCTGGTCTGCGTTCGTTACGACCTGTACCATTATCTCTTTTATGTACGATATGAGATGAAACAGACAGACTGCAACCAGCCTCGCCATTTGTCGCGAATTCGCTTTTGCAACGAACTTTTGAAATGTGTCCGTCGTCATAGGCAGCGCAACAGATTCTGCATTAGCACAAGGTGCTTTGCTAGCGACGACACATGGGAAGTTGTGACGAACGTGGTGACAATTCAGTGCAGCAACATCGATGCACGCCAGCAGGGCATGTGGCGCAGGCGCGCAGTCCCCGACATTGGTCCTAATTCCTCTGGAGGTTTGCATTATTGTGTCGATTTCTTCACCTAACAGCCATTTCGTCAAAACGGACATGTTATATTTTTTGAACGAAATCAAAACTGATTGTTTTTTGCCAAAATCCGGTCGGAATTTTTTGCTCCTGGCGGTCCGCCGTTCCCAGAACGTCCGACCCCTTACATGTATCTGGTCTATGGTTAAGACCTTTTTTTTTTTTTTTTTGTATCTAGTCTCAACCATAGACCAGATACATGTATGGTGTCCGGCGTTCTGGGAATGCCGGACCCCAGGAGCAAAAAATTCCGAGTGGATTTTGACAAAAAAAATCAGTTTTGATTTTGTTCAAAAAATATAATATGTCCGTTTTGACGAAATGGCTGTTACCTGCCTTCATCCTTTCACCTTCTGCACTTCCCATGACAACTTCGTTCGCACAAGTTACCGTCATTTCTCCAACCAACAACCTACCTCGTGTGTGTTGCATGGCATCAATGACGTCCGAGCAACTTTTCAACAGAGACGTCATATTGCGAGGAAGGTCATCCTTAGCAATTGCGACACCCTCATCATAGAGACCGTACTCGTCTACGGTTTCCTTACAGTGGCGAATACAGTCTGCTGCGAAGGCCAAAAGGTCGACGACACTGCGTAACGAAGCAGTTAGCGAACCCGTATTATATTCTTGGCTATCATACGATGTCCACCCCTCCTTCAGCACACACTTCTCAGGACTGCCACAAGATGCGACATCAAGTCCTTGTGATTCCCTGTGAGTTCTCTTTGTGACGTGGGCGGCGAACCGATTCAAGATCGCAGTGCGCCTGTGCCTTTTACCATCCAACCATGTCTGGAACTCGTCAAACGTGGTGGTCTTCGTTTCAGCTATTGCCTTCAGTCTGACAGTCATGTCCTCCCTCAGACGAGTTATGTCTAAACACTTTGGATCGGATAGTAACAACCAGAACACGGTGAACATCCTGTGATCCGTAGTTTTCGTCATTTCTACGAGCAGTGACTTAATACTGCCTAGTTCGTCTGACATCTGTCTCGCCAATTGTTTCCGCTTATGTACCTTGTCTGTTAGCCTGTCTATATGTTCTCGCTGCTTCTCTACTACCTGACCCCAGTTCCGGTCCATCTCAGTCGTCTTCTCTTCTTTGGCCCCCAGTAGTAGAAAGTGATCCGCAGTTGCATCACACTCTTCGCCTGACTTTCTCTTCTGTCCAGTTTTGGCCAATCTTGACATCTGGAAATATATGTACATACAGAGAAATACAGACAGATAGATAGATAGATAGATAGATAGATAGATAGATAGATAGATAGATAGATAGAGAGGGGCAGAGACAGACCCTCACTACTTCCATAGTTGTTGTCAGCGGGCGCCTACCAAAGATTGGTTATATGTACGTGGCAACATACATTGTTATTTATTACTGTACATCTGCGTTTCCCCCGTACATGACTC